AAAAAAAAAAAAAAAAAAGAAAAATTCGATGTCTTTAATCTCACCAAAAATCACCAGGTGGCCAGACAGTTGTAAATATAAACATATTGTCCTCCTTTCATTCAGTGCTTTCACTCTCAATCTGTGGTGTTATTTTTTTTTCTTTTATCTTTTTCAGTTGGAGTCTCACTCTTGTTGTCCAAGCTGGAATGCAGTAGGTACGCTCACAGCCACTGCAACCTCAACCAGCTGGGCTCAGGTGATCCTTTACCTCAGCCCTCCAAGTAGCCCAGCTAATTTTTTGATTTATTGTAGAGACAAGGTCTGGCCTTGTTGCCCAGGTTGGTCTCAAACTCCTGAGCTCAGGAAATCCTCATCTCCACCTCCCAAAGTGCTGGGATTACAGGTGTGAGCCACCATATCTTGCCACAGTGTTATTTTTATATAAATATTTAACCTAGTTAGAAAATCCTGCATTAAATACTAACAGCCAGACAAAAGTTCCAATACTTAAAAACAAAAGGTAACTAATGAACATGCCTATTGTCTGGAAAAAACAAAAAAGGTAGGCACATGAGCAGACAGAAAAACAGACCAAGGGGTTGGGCACAATGGCTCACACCTATGATCCCAACACTTTGGGAGGCCGAGGTGAGAGGATTGCCTGAGCCCACAGGTTTGAGACCAGCCTGGGCAATCTTGATGAGACCTGATCTATACAATTAAAAAAAAAAAATTAGCTGGGCATGATGGTGCACACCTGTAGTCCCAGCTACTTGGAAGGATGAGGCAGAAGGCTCGCCTGAGCCCAGCAGGTCGAGGCTGTGGTGGCCATGAGTGTGCCACTACACTCTAGCTTGGGCAAGAGAAAGAGACTCCAGCTCAAAAAAGAAAAAAAACAAACAAACCACACCAAGGGAAGGGAATCAGTTTCTCTTTCTTTGTAATAAGCTAGATTTCTAAAAAGTGACTTTTTTTTTTAATGGGGAGTCTCTTTTTTTTTTTGAGTTGGAGTCTCACTCTGTCACCCAGGCTGGAGTGCAGGGGCACACTCATGGCCACTGCATCCTCGATCTGCGACCTGCTGGGCTCAGGTGATCCTTCCGCCTCAGCCTTCCAAGTAGCTGAAACCACAGGCATGTGCCACCATGCCTGGCTACTTTTTTTTTTTAATTTATTGTAGAGACGAGGTCTTGCCAAGTTGCCCAACTGGTCTCGAACCCCTGGGCTCAGGCAATCCTCTTGCCTCAGGTTCCCATAGTGCTGGGATTACAGGCGTTGAGTCCACCATGCCTGGCCTTAATTTTTTTAAGAACCAGGAATTATCAAGTATTGGGAAAAATATGGAGACAATGGAACCCTGGTAAAATGCACAGCCTCTGTGGAAAAGAGTTTGGCAATTTTCTGAGAAAGTTAAACACAGAGTAATCATTTGATCCAGCAATTTCACTGATTGGTATACATCTAAGAGAAATAAAAATATTTATCTATACAAAAACCTGTATACAACTGTTCACAACAGCAGTATTACAACAGGTGGAAATAACCCAAATGTCCATCAATGATAAATGAATACACATAATGCAATACATCTACACAATGGCATATTATTCAGTCATAAAAAGAAACACAATTCTAACATATGCCACAGCATGAACCTTGAAAACATTATGCTGGCCAGGCTGAGTGGCTCAGCCTGTAATCCCAGCACTTTGGGAGGCTGAGACAAGTGGTTTGCCTGAGCCCATGGATTCAAGACCAGCCTGGGCAACTTGGTGAGACCTCGTCTCTACAATAAAAATAAAAAATTAGCCAGGCGTGGTATCGTACACCTATGGTTCTAACTACTCGTAAGGCTGAGGCAGAAGGATCGCCGTCGCCCAGCAGGTCAACGCTAGGGTAGCCATGAGGGTGCCACTGCACTCCAGCCTGGGCGACAGAGTGAGACTCCAACTCAAAGAAAAACAAAACAGGCCAGGCTTGGTGGCTCAGCCTGTAATCCTAGCACTTTGGGAGGCTGAGGCGAGGGGATTGCCTGAACCTGAGGGTTCGAGACCCGCCCAGGCAACCTGGTGAGAACTCGTCTCTACAATAAATCACAAACTAGCCGGGAGTGGTAGCGCGCATCTGTAGTTCTGGTTACTTGGAAGGCTGAGGTGGAAGGATTGCCGGAGCCCAGCAGGTCGAGGCTGTGATGGCCGGGAGCGGCCACTGCACTCCAGTCTGGGCGACAGAGTGAGACTCCAACTCAAAAACAAACAAACAAACAAAATAAATAAATAAAAAAGAGAAAAGAAAAAGAAAATATTATGGTAAGTAAAAACTATTTCACTTACATAAAATAGTCTAAATAGGAAAATTCCTGGAGACAGGAGACAGAACAGTGGTTGCCAAGGACTAGAGGAATGGGGTAGGGACTGACTGCTTTTCATGGTTTCCTTTTAGGTGGTAAAAAATATTCTGAAACCACATAGGGGTAATGATTTCTCAATACTGGGAATGTACAAAATGCCACAGAAGTGTACATTTTTAAATGGTTAAAATGCTAAATTTTATGTTATGTGTATTTTTTTTTAACTTTTT